TTGATACACTTACACTTGTTCTAAGAATTCAAACCAGGCTCTTCTGCTCTTGTGCAATTTATTCATTCTTATGTCTTGCACTGCTTTTGTTATCATTGTCAGTTGTTATCATTCCATTTCATACCTGTACCACTTACTTAGGGGGCTTCCTTAGGTGAATCGGTTACAAAGTGAAAAATATTAAATCATTTCATATCTGCTAGGAAGACTGAATTCCTCTTCCAAAAATTCAGAGTCAGTCGTATTGACTTTGTATCTGAGAAATCTACTTTCATCAACTCCGTCCTTAGCTTCCTTTACTCGTCCCAGGGTGACCACTATTTTTATCATGTCATTTTATATCTACAAAGTCCTTGCAAGTGTTCAACGCTTCACTTTTGAGACTGATCTTCCATTTTCTGGATAAGGAATTAAATTTCTTTAGAGGATATGAAGTGATAACAAACCCTTTTCACTCAGGGACAAGTTAATATGAGAAGAAGTTGCAATGCAGAGACTAACACTTAGCAACTGAAAACTGAAGGTGCACTCTTCAGGCAGTTTCTGTTCTACCAACTGAGAGCTCAAACAGACAGCTGCAGTGCGAACTAAGGCCAAAGAGCATCTCGAAGTTTACAAAGCCAAATTTTTATAGGGCTTGTGATCTAGCCTCCAACCCTACGTAAAGCCAGGGTGGGCGACTAAGCGTGCAGGAGGTAGGTCTGCTCTGAGGGATGTTGCCTGGTTGCCTCTGAGAGATGGTAGGACTGGGCACGGGGCTGCAAGTCAGGGGAAGGCAGAGGAAGGCATTGTCAGAAAGGGGCAGCGGTGGAGAGGGAAGTTTCTCTGGTCATGCCTCTACTGGCATATAAAACCAGGCCAAGATTTAGCATCAAATCCTGGTCCGCATCCATTAACCATCATGGATTTGGCTTGTATCAACTAGCACTTTCCCAGGACAACGTATGGGCATGGTGGTTTGGGCCACACCACGTACCAGGACTGTTCTCAATGAGCAGTCTGGATGCAGTCACCCTATTTTGGGCATAGAAGAAAGCTTAGAAGTGTGGATGCAAGTCATGCAGGGACACTTGCAGGGCCAGAAAACAGGCCTTGGCTTGTTCTATTTTGTAACATACTGTATCATTTGAGGAATGCAGCTATTTTGAGCAGAAGGACCGATATTTGAGAAAGTGGGTGACGCTGGTGAGAACAGACAGATGTTTACTGATTCAGTCTTCACATGCAAAACTGTTGGTGCGTGTTCAAAGTCATGTTCTGAAGATGTGTCTCATTATCTTAACATGAGTAAACAGCCGCCCAGTGTGTTTTCCCATTTGTTGTGACTTGCTTATTCAGATCCTCCTTATATTCCAGGACACAGTTACTAAATTTAAAGCTGCAAACAGATTTGTTCTCTCAGCACACTTGTAAGAAACATTTAATTTTACATTGCCAATTTTGAAATATTTCTATATACTCTGGCTAGGTAAAACAGTAAGGAATTGGTGTAACTCACTGACGAATTAATGGCATGCTCACTCATGCAAGCTCTTATTTTCCTCTTCAGCAGATATTAGGCCAGACATTTTGGAAGAGTTTAATCAAAATCCTCATCAAAAGCCAAATGAGTGGATTTTAAAGAAAGTTTAATTACAGTGGTCAAACCACCCAGCATGATTTGCTTGATTTGATTAACGTAATGAGGAGCACATTTAATGAGAAATGCATTAATTCATTCGAACAAGTGGTTTTATCAGAGGTATTAAGCATCAGCGCAGATTATGTACAGCAGAAACTATTATAGCAAAATTGACCGAGGTCAAAGCAGTAGTCATACAATAATTACAAGCTCTCAGCTGTAATCTACCAGTTGAACTTGGGCAGTGCTTATCATGACTGAGAAAGCAGGGTCCCCACTAAAAAAAGCCCCCAAAACACAGGGTTTTGCTTCCGTTCCACAGCTGGGATCTCCATCCCTTTCAGATGTTCAGAAGATTTGGGAACTGCGACTGAATTCTGTGAGTTTCAGATGGTTACACATGCAGATACTATCAACAAATGATGAAGTGAGAGCTTAAAGGACCCTTGATACCACCCCCCAACCTTAAAGGAAACGGAGTGTTCCCCATTTGCTCTCTGTTTTACCTCCCTCCCATCCCTATGAAGTCTTTGGGACATTTCTCTTCCTAACCTGGAATAGAGTGACTTTGGGTGAGAAATATTATCTTCCTCCTTGGGAAAGAAACCCCCTTCTTGGAAAGGAAGAAAAATTGGCCTTAAGGGGGAAAGATCTGAGAAAAAGAAGAAAGAGTCTTCTTTACACTTTGCTCTCTTCAGCTGCCTTCTTTAGATAAATTTTAACCCCTACATTCCAACTTTCCTGTTTCAGGACCCATCCCTATGGGATTTACAGAGCACCCTTCACCTCCATCCTCCCCGTTGGCACCCCTTCTCTGGAGATGCCTGCTATAACTCCTGGCAGCTGCCTGCTTCTCTCTCCTGTGATGCCCTGACCACTGTTACCTCTTCGACTTCTGCCGTGCTCCCTTGCCTTTATTCAGTCCCCGACTTGTTATTCCTGCAATGTCTGCGCTACCTCTGTGTGAGCCGCCTTTCCTGCTGCTTTGTACTGCCTCCGTATAGCACTGAAACGGCTTTGATTTTCAAGTGCTCGACTTCTAAGCCTGCTCGGCTGCCTGAGCACTTTTCAAGCCCTGTTGCACAGTGGACATAAGCACTATCTATTGCTCAGTCTTTCATCGGCTACCACCAGCAGCTGGCAAAGGAGAGCAGCTTTGAAACTGGTCCCTAAGCAGGAAGGAGACCGGTCAAGGAGCTGAGAAGTGGAGCTCAAGCCCAGTTGCAGATAGGATCCTCTGGGGGTAGGTGCATACTGACATGTGAAGATCGGCGTGGAGGCCATATTTTGCCTCTTGATTAAGTCAGCAGGAGTATGATGGTCAGGCACTATTGTTAGGGTGCTTAAATGAATGTAGATGTCAAGGTTCACCTGTGAGTTTGGAAGTCTGGATCAAGACCTTCCAGAAATAAGACGAAGTAGAGAACTAGAAATGACAAAAAACAGACCTAAGGATTTATTTGCTATATTAACAGAAGATGAGCAAGAAAACTTATCCTGCTGAGCTGAAAACCATAATCCTTAGGATTATTTCTGCTTGTTGTTGTGTTTAAACTACAAGGAAACGAGGAAAAATTGGAACTGGAGTCCCTTGATTTTAGAGAAGTCTCGGGATGTGCCTATATCTGACTGTTGCACACCAACAGGAACCCGTGATACTGGTATATAAACATCTGCACAGGGGAAAGCATTAACAGTGAAGTATACTCAGCGAGGTTGTTCCCAAGGCAAAGACAATCCTGTCTTGGAACAAGCTACCCAAATAGCAATTACAGACTCACTACAGAAGCTGCTCCTTGATGTCACATTTGGCATCCTTGAATGGAATCTAGGTGGGAAATCATAAAACATAAATTGGTAGAAGATCTTATCTTAAAATACTTTTTCACACTATCTCCCAGCCTGGCCTTCAAGCAGCCAACCAACCTTGCTTGACTTATCATCTGAAGAAAGTTTCCCAAGGACCAATATATCTGACTATATTGGAGTGATAAATGCAAAAATTGCAACTTATCTCCATAGCCCTCACAAGAAACATCTACAACAGAACTGTGAAAACCTACGGATCCTCAGCATGTCCATCCCAGAATACAAACTACTTCTTCATATGTACCATGTGTCCCTTGTACCATAACGAACTCACACTGACAATTAGTGTGTGAAAGAAAAATATGGATAATAACAAGAGAACATTTTCCAAAACAGCCGTCCTCCCTCTTATTATTCAGCCCTCCTCCTCAACGGAATCCCACAAGAGAAACTGGAAAGTTGAAGTTGGGATTAAAATTAGTAACTTGATGGGACACTAAAAATTGTTGACTCCAACAACAATGCTAATTTTATGGCATGTTACAATTTGCCTCAGATACGACTTGCTAATCTTAGTTTCTCAGGACGTAACTACCTGTGCATTTCTTCCATCCTGTGTTCAGTAGAGCCGAAGACCTTATTATTGCTCCTCTTACTAACATCCCTTCTGTTCCTTTCATCTCAAAGTACCTGACTGATTAATATAATGAAACTGAACTCAGACAAATTGCTTCCCATCTTTGCTTATCTGGCAGTTTGCTAGTTATGTTCCTGCTTCTGCATTTTGCCCCTCGGACTTGTTTGTTTTTTTTCCTATCAGGTGTATGCATAATAGATATTGCCTCTCTCCACAGATATTCCTTCTGAGTGTTATGACTGTTCCCTGTTTACTGAAAACCTGCTCAACCAGCCTTCACTTTGGAAATATCAAGTGCGGTTGCAGATGTGGCTCCAGTTCTGATTCCTTTTTGAGTAGTTATACAGCTTTTAGTCTGGCACTATCCAAGCTCTTAACTGCTTCAAAGAGATATTTGGTTTGATTTGGATCACACAAAGGGTAGGGGCACAACTTAACTGGCCAAACATCAGTCACTACCTCTAAAAGGAAAGGAAGCATTGTTAATTCAGATCTTTCTAAAACGAAAGTGAAATATAACATGGAGGAGATCCAGGAATATATTGTTCAACACAAGGCACAGTTATGTACCACCCAATCCAGTCAGAGATGACAATATTTATTGTCACCTCTCTGATACTTCCCAGATATGGTACTGGTCTTTGGCAACATTCATTGCAATCACATAGTATATTACTTGCTTCTCCTTTTCATCCTTGGACTTCAGAAAATCAAAACTTTACCTTTCTGCATCCAAATTCAGTAACTTAAAGCTGTAAGAGCTTGGAAAAGGTTAACCAAGGAAGGAACTCCATAGAATTTCGCATAGGAAATTTCAGTGTGCGGTCCCACATTAGTTAAAAATATATGGACCTAAAGAATAGCAGGCTATGTTCCAGGAAGTATTAAATATGCCAGTACACAAAGCTCTGAGGTAACATGCAGATCTACCACCTTCTGCTGAATATCATACATCTTCTTGGGCTTGCAGAAGTAGCAGGTATTGTTCTGCTCGCACACCATGAAGTCCTTGATGCACACTTGAAAGTCATTCTTTAAAAACAAGTACCTAAATTTCACATTCAGGGCAGAAGTCCTACACCCTTCTTTTTTCACGGAAAGACACTCAGAGAAAATTCAAGACAGGATTAAGGAAAGGATTTTAAAACTCATATTCCTCATCTTGTGAAATTAGCTTGTGAGCTTGTCTGTGACCCTGACCATACATGAGACCTGAGACCTCATCATTACCACGTACAAAGTAAATGTTTACCCCATATGTGCCTGTCACCACGGAAAACTCAGGGAACGTATGGGGAGGATTTTTTTGCAGGTCCAAAGGAAAAGCAAGCCCCTACATATATTCCTCCTACTCAGATACAAACCAGGAGCTTGCTTCCAGCAGGCAGTTTATATCAATGGGTTCTACTAGGCAGTAAGGAGATAACCCTCAGTATTGATAAATGGGAACTGCTAACGCAGTGTAAACATATGGTGAAAGCAAAATACTTGCCAAGAACCTAAAAGGCTGGGTATTTAAAGCAGTTCTCCATGCTGGCTTTCCTTAGCAAGGTGCACAAGGGATGAACACTCAGCTATCAGTCTCACTGCTGGCTCTTAGAAGATGGAACCTACAGTGCATCGTGCCTACATCCCAACGAGCCGTACTTAATTCCCTTTTCCCCCTTTGGCTGTGCCACTGCAATGAAAGTTTCTGCAAGAAACTGAGGTGTTCCTGGAGCAGTAAAACAGCTCCTGCTGCGCACGAGCCAGTGTTTTACTGTGCCCATGCCAACCGCCCCCGGGGCTGGTACTGCCGACATCTTCTTCCACACGATGAGGCAGGTGGCTTCTGACTTGGATGTCTGGTTTTGATGACCAAGACCCCACCATAACATCCTTCTGCACCACAGCAAATCTGCAGATCCAGGTGCTGATCGTCAGCAGAAACATGCAAATTCTGCCAATTAGTGGCTCAACCTTGTTTCCCACCTCCGAGCGGGTAACATGAAAACAGTGCTGGGGATGGGTGGGGAAGGGATGAAGTGTGAAAATAACGTGAGATGAGGACACCTGGGCTGGCAGGTGATAGAAACCAGCTTCCGTCCTCCAGGACAGCTGCAGGGTCCCTCCGTGACAGCCCCCGAAGGAGGGAGAGGCAGCAGGAGCACACGGCAGAGGCGCGATGGCCCTTACCTTCTCGTTCTTCCTCTCCTCAGCCTTGCCGGTGGGGCCGGGGGCGACGGGAGCACCCAGGGGCCCGCTGCCTGCCTCGCCCTTGAGGTGG